TCCTTAACTCCATGGTTGGTGAATCAAGAACTACAGAAGTAAAATTATGTCAAGAAATCTTACAATCCTTAGAAATCAGAGATTTTGCGCCACAAATTTCAGCATGCCCAGGCTGTGGAAGAACTTCAAGCACCTATTTTCAGCAACTCGCTCAAGATATTCAAAAACATATAGATAAAAATATGATTTATTGGAAAAAAAATTACAAAAACGTTGAATCCTTAAAGATAGCTGTAATGGGATGCATAGTTAACGGCCCAGGTGAAAGTAAACATGCAGATATAGGAATTAGCCTACCAGGCGATGGAGAAAATCCTGTAGCAGTAGTCTATACTGATGGAGAAAAAACTAATACTCTAAGAGGAAATAACATTACTCAAGAGTTTATCGAATTAGTTGATGGCTACATTACTCAAAAATTTAGTAATAAAAAATAATTATATACCTTAATCAACAGGTATAAGAAAATATTCTTGAATACAAACCTAAAAATTACTTACTGTAACTCGAACTGGAAATAAGAAATTTATAATGAACCTTATCATCATGAAGTAGAGTGTATATCTGGATTGCCACGGATGCTATCGCATCCTCGCAATGACGTTTTTATTTTTGTCATCACGAGGTTGCACAACAACCGTGGTGATCCAGAATTGTTACAATTCACACCAGAACCAGTCATCATGAATGAGAGAAATTGTATCCTACCTCCCACAGTCATCACGAAGGAGAACTTTATCTCTCCTGTGGTGATCCATAACTATTATTGCATTTATATTTGTTGATAATTTTCCTGGATTGCCCCATAAATCAAAGATTTATTCGCAATGACTCTGGACTTTTGACAAAACTCTAACCTATGCCAAAAATGGCATTTTTAAAAAAGAAGTGATTTAGAAAAATTATGCTACTTTTGTGTGTATTTTTTCATATATTTGGTCAGCTTTTTCTAAAATTTTCTTTCTAAAATTCTCCTTAGATTCTTGCTGTGTATTTATTGAGGTTTTTGAAATAATAGGCATCTTTCCAAAACTCGACTTTATTTCTACTTGCACTTTTGTGGGGTCTCTAGACTTGCGCATGATAGGTTGATTTTTCTTTGATGTAAAACTTTTTCTTATACTTCTCTCATCTGGTATGCCTCTTT